CTGGGTATCGGGTTTTTGATTTCTGAAAAATTTTGTATATTGTTTAATGGACTTTGAGATTGAATACTGTTCGTTATCTCCATATCCTTCATGTTGCCATGATTACTAAAATAAGAAAATTCTGTGAAAAACTTTCAAAATGCTACTACTCCTTCAGTTTTGGTCTGATTTGAGGATAATTTGGCACGTAAGTAGACTACAATAGGATACATACTCTCTTCATCAGTTTTTGGTTTTGATGAATGTTGTTACTATGGTTACTAAAATTATAAATTTTCTTGAAATACATGTACTTTCAACATGCTACTCCTACAGTTTTCGTCTGATTTCAATATAACTTGGCACACAAGCAGACTACACATAATTGTCTTTATTGTTTTTTGATTTCGTTGAATGTTGTTGCTGTAGTTACTGAAATGAAAATTTCTGTAAAATTCTTTTAATTGCTACTCATTAGTAATCATTATTCTTAAACGAATGGTATCTTCTCATGTTATTCATTTTTTGGAAGAATTTCGATTTCAAAGGTAGTATAAATTAAAATGAGGCAATATTTCTTCCGTAATCAATCTTCGATTATTCAACGAAATAAAAACAGCATACAATCAATCAATCTCCGGATCAACGTCTGATATACATGTGTATGTTATTTTTGCTACTTAATCATGCATAGGACGTAGTAGCTTATGCTTTTCATTGAATCTTTATTTTCATACATGAATTACATGTACGCTGCAATATTCCAGTCGAAAATTATTGCTTGTTGATAAAATAAACATTACTCTGTCAGAGTAAATTCATCATGAACGGTGAAATTCAATTTCATGTCAAGATCATTCTCACAAAATTTCTTTATTTTTCTCAAGAGAATAAAGTTAATTTAGGCCTATTTTTTCCAGTTTGGATGAATGAAGTTTACAGAAAAACAAATTGAAATACATTTAGCTTATTTTAAATTTAATACTCATAAATGCAGTAAAGTAATAAAACTGCCCCTTAATCTGAATTTAAGAACGATTTTCTTTTTTGCTGTAGGGTTGAACCGTTCTGTTGAGGTTCTGTTTTGTTGTTTTTTTTTTAATCGACAACAATTATTTTCAGTGGGAGAAAAATGAATGACAATAAAAAGTATAAATTAGGAATTGATATATAAAACAATAATATATAAGAATTGTACATGTAGACATAAATGCATTGAAATTTAGTGCATCGTAAAACAGGTAACTGCAACATGTACAAGCTAAAAGAATACTGGTATAATGTATTTCTTCTTTCCATTCGAGAATTTTTCACCATACATGGAGGAAGCTTAAGGGCTTAAAATTGGCATTCGGTGCCACTGAGCAGTGAATGATCTTTATCGTGCGTACGTTTACCGTGAAACAGTTTTACCAAGACTCTCGCATCAAAGTAACTTCTGTAGCATGTTTGGTTGGCCAAATTCTGTTGCAGTCGATGCTTAAACCAACGGCCTTTTGATCACGGAGAGAGCGCTCAACCAAAGAAGGCAAACTATAATTTGGAAGAGCAAAGAGCAGATTGTATAACAAATCAGAAGTCTCTGTCGAGACTGAAGCTCTACTGGTTTGTACTTACAGCAAAGGAAGGGGAAAGTACTTCAACAATTGGTAATTGAAACTTTACAACAGCAATAAATAGAATAATGATCCTTGATTAAGTCTCTTTATGTTCTTAGTGTAGTCTACTTGCATGTCACATTATATTATAATCAGATTAAGGTCAAGATCTAGTAAATGAAAGGTGCCTACAGATTTATCAAATTTGAGAAATAAATTCCTTTATTGATGCTTTACAACTTTAGCTTGGCCAAATAAGGTGTTTCGGGGCATAATATGTAGGTAAACAAGATGAAAAACTATACTTTAAACTGTCATTTTCATTGCAAAATTAAGAAAACCAGTCATGAATTTGGGAGTTTTTTTAATATTTGACAAAGGAAATGTATTCAGATTGCCTACAGTCTCTCAGAAAATGGTAATTTGTTTGCTCATGGCCTCTTCTTTAAATCAATATCAAATTTAATATAAGTATCCGGTTTACTTTCCATATGATTTCAAATTGAATGCCATGAAAATACCATATTTTCTACTTAATTCTGCTAAAGCCGTAAAGTACGGGAAAAAGAAAGTTGAAACTGATTATGACGTCATAATGGATCTGGCACCAAAAAATTTGTCTAAAGTCATTTACTAGATCTTGACCTTAAAACTGTATTTGGAGTAGCATTTTGAAAGTATATATAACAGAAATTTCTATTTTTAGTAACCAAGGCAATATTGTTCATCGAAGTCAAAAACCGATATACAGAATTGTGTATCTTAGTGTAGTCTACTTGTGTACCAAGTTATATTGAAATCAGACCAAAACTGTAGGAGACGTAGCATTTTGAAAGAATTTCATAGAAATTTCTATTTTTAGTAACAACGGCAACACCGTTCACCAAAATCAAAAACCGACATACAGAATTATGTACCTTAGTGTAGTCTACTTGTGTACCAAGTTATATTGAAATCAGACCAAAACTGTAGGAGACGTAGCATTTTGAAAGAATTTCACAGAAATTTCTATTTTTAGTAACAAAGGCAACACCGTTCATCAAAATCAAAAACCGATACAAAGAATTATGTATCTTAGTGTAGTCTACTTGTGTGCCAAGTTATATTGAAATCAGGCCAAAACTGTAGGAGGAGTAGCAATTTGAAAAATTGTTTACAGACAGACAGACGGACGGACGCCGGACGCATTACTATCGCATAAGCTCTTCTGGTCTCTGACCAGTAGAGCTAAAAATCAGTTTAAAAAGCTTAATTAAAAAAAATCACACTTTATCTCAATGTCAATCGACATTTCAAAAACAAGGATATTGACAATAAACAGTATGTCATGCAATGCAATGTTTGAAAGGAGGGGTCTTTGTTTTTCGTGTTTCGTTTGTTAGGCTGTTTAAAATTAAAACTACGTTTAACGTCACCCGCGCGCGTAGGTTTATGAGAAATTCGTCTTTGAAAAAAACAAACAATTCGGAATTCCGTATGTCCGTTCCGGTTTGATTCTTCAATTAGCGACTGAATTCTGCTTCCCGTAGTGATAGAAAATGTGCTTTGATAGCCGCAGTTAAGGCAGTTGGTGTCTTATTAATGAAAACTAGATAATTAAAGAGTTTGGGACCATAAATGTAAGTAAAAAATAGATTATTTTATGATTATATTAATGACAAAGTCTTGTTTGTTGATTTTTTTTGTCAGTCTTCGAATCATATGTACAGACTGACAGTGACAGACTCTCAGTTCGCGATTCTATTGGCTGAACTTTTCATTGTATTTTGGAGAGAATCGAAAAACTTTTTTTACTGAGTGTGTGGAATTCAAGGTATTAAAGATAATCTAACAGCTATCAGTATGGTCCAAATATTAGTATTCACACTTTCAAAACTTAATGCTAGTAGATCTAGTACTAAGAAAAAATATGACATAATTCAATTTGAGGATATTTCAACATGAACACTTTTAAATATTGTCATCAATAATTTTGATTGTAGATATTGATCAACTTTTCCCACAAGAAGAAGCATTTGCCTCCAGGGTACCATGGACTGTGGCAATATAAATCCAAAGGACAACTGAGGCCTAGTTAAAAGCCACTTTCCTGCACATTCGGTCTTAGACTACATTGTTTGCTAACAATAGGACTCAAACTGATTTACATACTAAGGAAAAACTCTGCTAAGGAAATTAATCTTAGGTGTTATTTCAATTAAATGCTCTTATTACTTAATTGTAATGTTTTTAATGTACTGAATAGGTTAATTTGAATAAATTCACAATTGTTTGAAAATTTTGTTTGTTTATTTTTTTCCTCCCTCCCTCGTAGGTTTTGAACTTTAGATGTGACGTTAAACGTAGAATTAACTTTAAACAGCCTTATGAATTGATGAAGAAAAATGGATTTTTTCTGGTTGCTAACGCTAGTACATGTAACTCAGTTTGATAGCTCATCGCCAAACTATATGTTTTGCAGAATTTACTCCATCAATATCTTGTCTGCAAAAAAGGATCTTTTTTCCTAAGTTTAATTGTATATGGAGGTTGTAGACATATAAAGCAATCTAGACAGAAACATAAAAGGGATAATGCCCTTTTATATTTTGATAAATTATCATTATTTCTTAATAGTAAATCAAGTCTTTCGATGTACACAACTGTTTTGGAAATGAAAATCGCACAGAAAAATTTTGAGAATTATGATCCTTTAGTTTGTTAACGTACATGTGTGCTAAGTATATATTAAATTTAGAAAAAAAAAGTAGGAGTAATGTTCCAAATGATTTTACGTTACCAGGGAAACAGTGTAACAAAACACCAAAAACAAATAGTAGAAGTAATAATACAATGCAAAATCTGTTTGTGTACTTATTTCAGGCTTTCATTTCCATTGAACTGAACTGCATGATAAGTAACGTGTAGAAAGGGTTTCTTCAGCTTTTTAATTTTTATTTTTAAGTAACCATGTCAAAATCTTAATACAATACACAAAATTATGTTTCCTAGTATATTCTACTTGTGTATAACGACTATACATTCGGGAAAAAAACTTGGGGAGGAGAAACGTATTGAAAAAATTGTTTATAGACAAACGGAAGGACACCAAGATGAACGGACGTTGAAACTTAACTAAATGCAAAGCTTTGTTTACTTTCTATGACAATGAATCGTTTGGTATAGATAAGTCTAACGTCTATATTTTATACTAGTATACCGTGACATCAGTTCGTGTAGGTCTATGTTCTAGAGTAAGCAGCATTTAATTGAACTGTGGTTTCGTAATTCCGTGGGTAACTCGTATATACTGAAAAAAAGTTGACAAAATATTGTCCCTGTTGGTGTTAACTCGTAGATAAGGATGACCCATGAAATCTACGAACATTGATGATTCCACATTATATAACATAGGATTCCTAAAGTAAAAATCATTGTGAGAAGATTTGCTTTTCGCTGGTGATTTATCTCTCCAAGCTGTACTAGTAGCAATATCGTCATGGTTGTTGAAGAACCGAGCCCTTTACGCGTATGCCACAACATAATTCTGACATAATGCAGACGATAAGATCTGTAATCTCTCTCTTTCTGGTATCAAAGGTTTGTTCAATTTCCATGTACGAAATGAAAATATTTAATAAATGCAGTAAGACTTGAACCAGGACGAGTCAGGTAGAAATAGATTTTTTTTATTGTAGGACAATGGACAAAATTATCTTAGCCTTATGTTTAGGAGCTGTCTTGGGGGTCATCATGTAAGTACAAGTTTATCATTCTGACTTAAGCCATTCGGCATTGGATACTTGTTGTCCATTTACGTCACTAATTGTTTACAATGTGTGAGAAAAAACAAAAATACCGTATTGCGATACGATTTTGTAATATTGATATATTGGCAAAATGCTTAGACTAAGGAATTTCATCATTGAATAAAAAAATAAATGTATGAAAAGTCGTTATTAAGTCAAGCAGTAAGACAGAAGCTGTTTTATTGGTGTATTTCAAAGCAGAAATCTAATAAAATCAAAAGATTTTAAAAAGATTTTTTCCCCTTTGCTTACTTATTATAGTTATGTACATTTTACATGTAAATAAATGTTAATATTATTCGAAAATTCCTTTTTAAAAACGTTTAAAATATTGCAATACATATCGCAATACAGGTAAAAATATCGCAATACGAAATCTTTGGCCAATACCAAGCCCTAAAAGACTCTGTATGTAACCCGGTACGAACATTAAGTTTTGATGTATAAATGAATATAACGTGATTTTAAACATCTGTGCATTTCAACAAGCTTCATATTTCATCTATATTTTCTTAAATGCAATTTTTTTCCCGCAACAAGAAGTTCGTGAGCCGATGAGAATATATGCTCTTATGTGAATATATACAAGTTCGATTAAAGAAATGTGAACAAGAAGTCGACATCAGATAAAAAATAAATCATACCATATGACATGCTTGGACAATATCTGCGATGAGTTGTTGCGATGAGACCCTAGGGTTAACCGGAAGTTGACATCGGAATCGTACAAAAATGCCACCATTGACCATGACATGCTAAAAGAAAGAGTGTACTAAAATTTTAAGCATCTAGGAGAGTATTTGCTAAATTAGAAAACTGCGACGAATTTTTTTTTTGACAGACAGAGACAAATGATAAAACAGTATACACCCTCTCCTTCGGAGTGGGGAATTAACAAGTCGATACGTTTTAAGTAAATTCGAATAAAACTTGTAAGATTTGTCCTTTTGCAGCAGAGTTTAATATTATATTATAAACTCATTATCTTCAGGATTTGAAGAGATATGTTAACGCGCACGTGGTTGTGTATGTGTTAGTTTGTCCTTGTGTGCAACGGAAGTGACGTAATTTGCATCGGGATCAATGTCAATGATTTCGTTTTATTGACAATGCCCTTTGCAACGGGATGCTCCCCTTTGCGGTGCCCTATGTTGATGGTTGAAAAATTAATGCGTTTTTACACCGCTATCAAATTCTCTCTTTATAAACTTTCTCCGTATAGCCTCAAAGTTTGATCATTACTTTTTGATTTAAGGGTAAGTGGTCAGTTTCACTTGGGACGCCCCGTTGTTGACAGTCCAGAGGCACGTGCCATTTTTGCTGCTGCTGAAAGAAATAGAACCCCAGATGGTTTTCTTACAAAATTGGAACTAGACGATATTTTCCAGACTTTTGACCACAACGGTAAGAATCGGTCTACAATAATGTCATTGTAGGTATATAAGATCGTATGTTTTAAATAGTTAAAAGATACCATTCCTCGATGATATGAGTATATTTACTGCGTATCTTATCGGTCCATCATTTAATGAAACTATTTCTTCTGATGTGATGTTGATAAATAATTTTCAAAATTAAATGGTATCATTAGACATTGATGTAGAATTCTTCCTTAAATTTTAATTTAAACAAGCTAACTAGCTTAAGAGAAAAAGAAAAATGTGGAAGAAGTGTAAAAAGAAAAATGAGTAAACAGTGAAAGAAATGGTAAGACCTTCACTATTCAGCTTTATATCTCAAAGTAAAAAGACATTCATGACCAAAAGTTTCATTGCAAAAGCTTACAGAAGAAAATTATCATTTTAAAACTAGTTATGCAATATATAACTCTAAACCTGACCTTCGGCCCCAAAATGGGTCTCCTTAGAGGTTATAAGGGGTCGAGATATAAATTAATATTGCAAAATTAAACTTCAAACACTTTTTAAAGATATAGTCTTTAAACAACGATATTACAAATTTAAAATGTGTATTATCTTGAAATTTGACCTTAATATGGGTCTTCTGTATGCCTTAAGGAGCGTTATTAAATTTTAGTTTTGAAGAAAGATTCAGAAAATTTAAAGTTTCATATGAAATATGCTATTTGCTTTGGGTGGATTTCTTTTCTTGTCCTTAACCCTTTGCCCTTCTAAAAAGCGGTTGTCATTTGGGGATGAGGAGTTGTGATTTAAAATTTCATTGCAAAAACTGAAAGGTTTTTAAAGATAATGTCTGGAAACGAAAATATCACACACAAACAGAATTTTTGAATCTACATGTACATGTAAATGTTTTTATGACTTTGATATTTGACCCCAAAATTAATGCGGACCACTGGGAATTGTGATAATAAATTTTACTGAAGCTCAATGAAAGTCATCAGCAGGTACAAGTATATCAGATTCTGGCGTTAGGAATAAATTAACTTATATTTAAAAGTCATATTATCAATATGGAGATTTTTTAAACTTTCAGTCTTGTAAGTAGAAAGTGTTATTTTCAATATGACATAAAATTTTCAAGCATGTTTGACAGAAATGACGCTGTAATCTTTTAGTTTTGTAGCAATCTGCATGGATGTTGTCCCTAAATATATCTCTAATTTATCTTTTTATTAGTGGATGGTATTGTGGATGAACAAGAATTCATATACATTTGGAGATCTCGGCATTTGGGCGATATCTCGCACGCCATTACCCTTTTCCATCATGCCGATACAGATCGCGATGACGTCATTTCTAAGGTCCCTGATCTTACACGCGTTTTCTACTATTTTGATCGGGATCGTAAGTTTTTTTTCATAACATGCAAATAACTTTATTACTTTATTTAGTAATCAATCTGTTTGTTTATTAACCTTGAGGCCCCTGTCATATTATGACAAAAGTATTTCGGAATAGTGATTAGAAATGTTGATTTCCATTTATTAATCATCTCGATGAACAAATATCTCTGGTTCAGTAAATAGTCACATGTGCCCTTATCCGTTAACAAAATTTACAATACATTTTTCTCATGGTCATTCATCTGCTCAAACTGAATAATTCAACAAAAGATTTTCATTAACATTTATCAAATACATGTCTGTTTTGGAATTGATAGGACCTAGAATTGAATTGCTGTCAGTTACAACTGATTAAATTTATGGAGAATAATTGTTTCTTTTTCTCTCGTGCAGAAGATGGCAAAGTTAGCGAAGAAGAGTTCGTAGAAGTGTGGTTATCCTTGTCCATGTAAAAAAAAAAGACAAATCAATGAACGATATAACAAAATAAATAGACGAGTGCGAATTCCATTGATCGTCTGTTAATTCATTCTTACATCTAATGTCACGAACACAAACAGTGGAATGACAGTCGCAACTAATGTGTAGAAGGAAATTATCTCAAGTCACCTGACCCGGACTGTCGTCTGATAAGGTTTTGGACAACGATGAATGTTGAATGCTATCTAATGACAAAGTGCTATTGTCAAAAGACCTAACCAGCAGTCAAGGGTTCAAATTACCAACTGATCAAATTTTCAGCTCTTGGTGCTTTCCATGGCTGATATATTATCCCGGGTTGTTATTTCTGTTTTAAAGCAGGACGAATGTGAGCTCTATTTTTTTCCCAGTGTAATGCAGCAATTCGATCTTATTTGTTGTTTTGCATTTTGTCATATTAATTTCTCCAGTGGGACAGATGAAGGATAATAAACTGCTGAGTAAAAGCAAGTGTCACATGCATCCATGATGTAAATTGTCTTCATTTTTGCAGTTTACAGCTATTTTACAGTTTGTTTTATACCTCTCCACGCGATCGAAATAAGATTGTTTTTAATAGCTTGAACGATGGTCTTCATATCTTTTACGAATATTGATTTTCTGTATCTTCATGGAATTTATTATACAAGTTATCCTAGGTTTTTAATGTATAACTACCATAAATGAATGGTCCGATTTTATTTTAATCAAGTAGCATTTTGAAGGTGAAATCAAATGGAAAAACATGCACTCCACCAAAGGAATTTACAAAATCGAATTGATTGCACTTTGAATTTTACATTTAAATCTACTGGCAGCAAATGTTGTGAAAAGTAATCTAAACTTCATACAATTCTCTTGATGAAAATATGCATTAACCATCTTAAAATATAAAATAACCAGAAGTCTCTGTCGAGACTGAAGCTCTACTGGTTTGTACTTATAACAATTGAAGACAAAAGTAGCAGTTGGGACTTGAAATTTTACAACAGCAATAAATAGAATATTGATGCTTGATTGAGCTCTTTTTGTGGCAAGATACTACAATAAGACTACAACTGTAGGAGTAGCTATTAATAAACTTTTAGAGTATTTTCAATTTTAGTAACCATGGTAACATCATTCCTCGAAATCAAAAATCGATACATAGAATTGTGTACCTTGGTGTAGTCTACTCGTGTGCCAAGTTATATTGAAATCAGACCAAAACTGCAGGAGTTGTAGCATTTTGAAAGCAATTCAGAGAAATTTCTATTTTAAGAAACAAAGGCAACACTGTTCATCGAAAGAAAAAAAAATTGATACATAGAATTATGTATCTTAGTGTAGTCTACTTGTGTGCCAAGTTATATTGAAATGAGACCAAAACTGTAGGAGGTGTAGCATTTTGAAAGTATTTCACAGAAATTTCTATTTTTAGAAACAAAGGCAACACCATTCATCGAAATCTAAAATCGATATATAGAATTATGTATTTTAGTATAGTCTACTTATGTGCCAAGTTATATTGAAATCAGACCAAAAATTAGGAGGAGTAGCATTTTGAAAGTATTTCACAGAAATTTCTAATTTTAGTAATCATGGCAACACAGTTCAACGAAATCAAAAATCGATAAACAGAATTATGTATCTTAGCGTAGTCAACTTGTGTGCCAAATTATATTCAAATCAGACCAAAACTGTAGGAGGAGTAGCATTTTGAAAGTATTTCACAGAAATTTCTATTTTTAGTAACAACGGCAACATCGTTCATCGAAATCATAGGCACTCCCCATCTTAATTGTTAAAAAAATTATATCTACTATACTATAAACAAAAAGGCAAGAAACTAGCCTCCATGTTAGAATCCGCTTAGGGGTATTTTCTGGCTAATAGCGAGAATTTCTCGCCAAAGTCGGGTTTTTCTCAGACGTCGGGAGCTCTCATTTATTGAAATAAAATCTAATCGGGCTGAATCTTGCAGTATGTTCGCCGCATTCACGCGTTTCCCAACATTTCTCTGCAAATCCCCTTTCCTCGGCCGGAAGTTGAGAGTTCGCCGATTTTAGACAATTCGATCGTCGTTGACTTTCATAAACGTTTCGTGGGAAATTTAACGTTTTTCGTAGATGAAAAGTCAGATTGAACGAGGAGTAAAGTTTGACCGTAAAAATAGTAAAAGCAGGGCATAACCTTATTTTAACTGGGCAAGCTGGTTCTACAATAATCAGTGCTCCATGCTTAAGCTAAGTAAGCATTGCTAACTTCTACCAATTCAATACAGACGTACTGTGAATTATGCCTACAAAGTACATTCTGACTGTAAGATATTTTGAGACATTTTTTTTTTTTGGCTGGTGTTTGTTTCTTTTTTGTTTTTTTTTTCTTGGTGTTTAGGGGGGGTTAGCCACTTTTTTTGCAAAGAAAGAAATTTTCTATGCATTGAAAATTGGGGTTTACCTTTTTTTTTGTTGGTTTAACCCCCCCTTTACTTTCTACTATTTCCTTCCGACGCCTATGTAACTTACTATAAGAGAATAGTTGTTTGAGTAATGTACATATAAAATTTAGGAAGACAGTCTTAAGAAGAGTCATTTTCAGCTAACTTATGTACACACAAAAATGGGGGGGGGGGGGTGTCCGACTCAAGCTGCTTCCCTTCTATTTTATCGTTGTTTCATTAAAGAAACAAACTTGATATAATTTTGTTCAACAAACAAATAAACATTTATATTAAGTATGTCATTGCATTATTTCGTCTAGTATGTTTTTTTTTTTAATTTAGCCCCCTTCTTCGTATTATCATTTTAGTAAAATCCGTAGCACTGAGTATCCTGATCCCCCCCAACAAAGTCTGTGCTATTTTTAATACTTAATTTACTCACGTCCCTTGAGGATCCGGGTTAGAATTGGTCCTCAGTATCCCCTTGCTTGTCGTAAAAGGCGACTAAATGGGGCGGTCCTTCGGATGAGACCGTATAAACCGAGGCCCCGTGTCACAGCAGGTATGGCACGATAAAGATCCCTCCCTGCTCAAAGACCGTAGGTGCCGAGCATAGGCCTAAATTTGCAGCCCTTCACCGGCAATGGTGACGTCTCCATATCAGTGAAATATTCTGGAGAGGGACGTTAAACAGTATACAATCAATCATACATACATGTTTAAGTGTGGAAAGTATCATTAAATACCCATAAATTATCACTATTCATAAATTTCATATGGATCCTAAATTCACTGTAAAATTTTATATTACAGTATTTCCTCTTATACTACATTTTATTTAACGACAAAAATGCTTACCACTGTGTGTATTTCTTTTTTTCATAAGACATTTCAAAAACTTCTCGAAATACTAACTGTATTATGATTCGCAATTCAAATCATCCGCCAAGAATTCTTGGGTTTTTTTCCCAATAATCCGTGAAAGTCAACGACGATTGAATTGTCTAAAATCGGCGAAAGTCTTAACTTCCGGCCGAGGAAAGGTGATTCGCAGAGAAATGTTGGAAAATGCGTGAATGCGGCGAACATACTGCAAGATTCAGCCCGATTTGATTTTATTTCAATAAATGAGAGCTCCCGATGTCTGAGAAAGACCCTACTTTGGCTAGAAATTCTCGCTATTAGCCAGAAAATGCCCCTAAGCGGATTCTAACATGGAGGCTAGTTTCTTGCCTTGTTTTGTTTATAGTATAGTAGATAATTTTTTTAACAATTAAGATGGGGAATGCCTATGATCGAAATCAAAAATCGATATACAGAATTATGTATCTTAGTGTAGTCTACTTGTGTGCCAAGTTATATTGAAATCAGACCAAAACTGTAGGAGGAGTAGCATTTTGAAAGTATTTCACAGAAATTTCTATTTTTAGTAACCACGGCAACACCGTTCATCGAAATCAAAAATCGATAGACAGAATTATGTATCTAAGTGTAGTCTACTTGTGTGCCAAGTTATATTGAAATCAGACCAAAACTGTAGGAGGAGTAGCATTTTGAAAAATTGATTACAGACAGACAGACAGACGGACTGACGCCGGACGCATTACTATCGCATAAGCTCTTCTGGTCTCTGACCAGTAGAGCTAAAAATGAAGCTATTGACAAAATTCAAAATTCCTTCCTATTATCAAGGGCGAAAAACAAAACAACGCTGGCTTCCTATTACCATTGATGTGGTTTTGGTTCATTTCACCTTTATCCTTGTCTAGCAATAGATATTTAACTACATGTAGTTTATAAGGATTCACAATTGTTCAACATCCCATCATAATACATTGAATACTATATCATTTAAGTAAAATGATACTAAAGCTTGAACTATATCTTTCTTAATTATTTTTCTCTTTTTAAAAGGAAAATTTTCGTTTTATACACAATCAAGATTTAATGGACCGAAAAAGTATTTTCTTTTATATTAAATATTTACAGTTCATTTTTACACATTTTTTTACGAAAACCCTGTTACTTAATTATACTAAGAAAATGCATGCAAATAGGGTATCATCTTGGTCCAATGAAACTTAAGTATTACACTTTACTACAAGCTGTGTCATTTACTAGAGAAATCCGAACTTGCAGCTAAGGACATATCACTACAAATGCATAAAAAATAGTCTCTTTTATTCTTTACCATATAGTCCCTTTGTGTTGATATTTTTCAACATTTTAAAACATTCTGATTGTACACACAAGTGCTCTGAAGATGATATTAAAAAGGTGTTTGAGTTTTTGATCGACAATATCTACGTGTTTTTTGGAGAACCAGGTCATCCAACAATTTATTGGAATACTCATGGGTACCAATTGCGCCCCGTTATTAGCAATGCTATTTTTGTACTCATGTGAAGCAGAATTCGTGCAAAATCTTATGCGTGGAATAAAAACACTTACTGTGGGTTTCAACTCGACATTTCTCGCCCGCTTGGCGCAGTGGTTAAAGCATCTTCTCTAGAGTCGCGAAGTAAGGAGCTTATCATTACGTCATGGGTTCAAATCCAACTGTGGGACGTGCAAGGAGACCAGTCCTTCGGATGAGACCGTATAAACCAAGGTCCCGTGTCGCAGAAGG